GGATTACTTTTTTGGGGAAATAATCGGTAATTAGTTCCTGATTACTTTTTTCAAGTAACTTGACCAACTCTGATCAGGAGTGAGGTGATGTCACACATTCGTTTGACACAAAGTGAGCATATTTGGAGACATGGGTGGAGTCATAATGTAGTTTGGCAGTGAGAAAAGTAACGCTTTATGTAGCCTTGACACGACACGGAAAGAAATAACAAGGAAAGGAAAGGAAAGAAGGAAAGACAAAGAAGGAAAGAAGACAGGGAAGGAAAGAAAGAAGGAAGGGCCCAGTCTCTGCTCTTCTGTTGGAGCCGTCATATCGCTCCTTCCTCACGTTGACAAAAACCGGACACAGGAAATGCTACGGCTGCCTCGGTGACGGCTACGAACTATAAACCGGCGCAATGATGCCAGGACAGCAGACACATTCCAGGAAGAGTTTCATATGTTTAATATCTCATCATTTACTGGATTGTCTGACACCTAGAAGAAGGTGATCCAGATCAATCACGTGTCGGAGGGCCAATCAGAGCTCCGCCCTCTCAAACACATCGAGGGTGCAGCTTCACAACGTGTGACCTGCTGAGGCGCAAACACCGCCGTCCCCACAGACAGCTGTTTACAGCCAGGGGACACCTGCAGGGTGTGACATGCATCGAGTCACGCTGTAACATAACCACAAAGCACACAGTGGCTGATTTGCTGGGCGCCATCACATGACCTGACAGTCTGCCTGAGGCAAAGCAGACGCCGCCTCTGGGAAAAAGAATCACTTGGATAAGACCATCAAATGTTCCCGTCAGGACGACTGCAGCAGCCCTTCACCTGGATCACCTGTCCAGCTGTTTCAACATCACTACATCAGCTGCGTGTCAAACTGAATGCCATCGAGCACGTTCACCGCCGCCGTGCAGCGTGCAGGCGTTTGTGTACCTGACTCGCTGCAGCTTTGATGGATGCAAGCTGTGCAGCTTGTCCTGCTTCTGTCACTGGAGGACTTTCCTTCAAACTCACTGAGCAGCACACACAGTGCTGACGGGGAGGCGTGCAGACTGACGGTGCGCCTAATAAACTGACTATAAACGACCCGCCTGCAGCCATCTGTCTCCCGGGTGACTGAACGCAGCCTAAAACAGGACGTGCCGTTGAGCTCGGAGATCCTGCCTCTGCTGCGATAACTCCATCAGTCTATATAAGGCTGCGGCCGCAGCGCTGCCAGCGTCCTCATTAATAAACTCAAACACAGGACGAGCGAGGCAGCGTCTCCATTCCAGCACGCCGTCCTCTTCCTTTCACGGATATAAATGTTTTCATTTGAGACGTGGAAAGAGTCGACCTGCAGCCACTATGCCAGGCATGTAAGGCTGAAGACACAAGTCACGTGACTGTGTGGAGGCGGAGTTACACTCAGACCGGGGTACAAGAGCTGTGAGGCGTTTCGCTCGTTTTCATCGTGACCTACGACCTCAGCACCCTGAGTGGTCAGCAGGATTACTCTACCTAAACACAGTAGTTAGATTACTTCTACACATGGTGTGCCCCAAATGTTTGATGTAGTATTTTTAAGTTGTGGTTTCATATTTATGCACGGGAGCCCAGCTAGCCCCGCCGTGTGGCTGCACA